TTGTAGAGATACTGATATAAAATCAATAACTTGAATAAATAAAATTTACTATATGTGTATATACAAAAGTATGTTTAAATTAATTAAGATAAAATTACCTACGTTTTAATTCAATTTGTATACACATAGCTAAACTATAAAATTATTATGTTAGTATGTATTACATTCAAGTATAAGTAGATTTAAATATATTGTTTGTATATTTGTACATGATAGGATAAAATTTGATAGGATAAAATTTATCTCTAAATGTTTGATTTATGAACACATCCTATTTTATGGTAAGGATTATTTTAGTCTTCTTTCTTTTTTTAATCGTAATAAATAATTCAACTAAACTGAGAAAAAAAATTCAATAAATTACAATAAAATATTATCGTCAAATGTTATTTCTTGTTTCTATGTTTGTATTCTGTCTAGGTTAACATCAACTTCTAATGATTTTTAATGTAACCAACAGTATATAATTACAGAATTTATAAAATAAATAGAAGTTGAATGTAAGTATTATTTAAAGATTAAACTAGAATGTTATCATTCTACATTTATATTTATGAAAAACAAATAGATGTTCACAAAAATATATGTTTATGTATAAAATTAAAAACTGAGTTTTTAATTTTTAGTATTATTGAAATAATGAATAGTTATAATGATCCCTTTGGTTTTACCAAACAAACGATGTCTTTATTGCGTGGTTTGGGTGCACCTGAATTAATACCAGAATGCAAGAAAAGAAATATATCAACAGATGTATTACACGAGCTCACTGTGCAAGAACTAATAATGTTAGGTAAATTGAAAAGTTTTTAATATAAGTAATTAATACATGTTGATAAAATATAATCTAAATAAACTATTTCATTTATATCTAAAAAAATTTGGCACAGGCGTTAATCCTAAAAAAGCTGAAGAATTACAAAGTACTTTAAATATTAAGAGAAGAAGGTCTAATATTATAATAGCAAAAGTTGAAGACAGGTTGAATAAAATTTCATTAAAGTTCGTTTGAAATGAATTTTGTTGATGATTAGTTTTATCCAAGGATCATTGACTTTTTTTTTAGGGTTGAACATTTTCTTGAAATAATCAAACATGGAGAGCAACAATTTTGCTTAATACAAGCACTTATAGCATATTGTCGATTAAGACTTGTTAAAGAAAAAATTAATATTTTTGTTGATCCTAATCATTGTTTGACCGCTTCTAAAATATTACCTATTGCTGTTGAAGCAACGTTAACAGAGTTAAAAGATGCAAAAAAAAATCTTTCTGAAATTGAGGAATTGATTTTAAAGGTACGTCTTGAAAAATTAACATTGTAATGTTATTTCATTTTATAGTACTTATATAACATTCAATTTTACAGTTAAAAATGAAACCCAAACGTATTAGTATTCATCAAGTTTACATTGGTATCAGTGCATTAGGATTGGCAACATTTGTATTATTTAAGAGATATATAATTTAAACATATTTTGATTTAAGCACTATGTATGAAAAAAACAGGAAATTATTATTTTTTAAGATCTTTTTTAAAATACGAATTTATTTTTGTTATAATTTTTTAAAAGAATATATTGTGAACTTTCTATAAATATTAATAAATTTTTTATTTTGAAGTAATCAGTCCATTTTTTATTATCATAACGCAATTTGTATCACAAATCACAAGTAAAATACAAATAATATAGCAAAGATTGAAATGAGAGACAATCGATTATATGTACTTACGAATCGAAAATGTATCGAATTCTCAATCGATACCACATTTTTAAGTCGATTACTATGTAGATATCTCCGTTAAGTGATGGAACAACGATTTTATAAATAAATGTTATTCGTATTTATCGTTCATTATAGATTCTTGCAAATTTTATTTTTCATGTTATGTGACTATTAATCATAATAGTATGTATTATCATACATGGTATGAAATCATTGAGTGTAAATAGATGAATAGGCTTTGCATAACTGCGCTATATCAACGTATATTCCTGTTGATCATAAATTAAACAAATAATTACACGATCGAATGAGAGAAGAAGAGACGAGTAAATCGAAAAGAATCGAATTCTCGATTAATTTACGTTCCATCCACTCGAAGCGCCCTTGTAAAAGGATCCACCCTAAAAAATTCGGTAGTGGGGGGTAGAAAAGAGGTGTTATCTTTCGGCGCATGCGCGCTTCCATTAGCTTCGAGCTTTCAAATTTCAGCTCAGTCGCAATAAGATGGACGGTGGAGCGTACGGTGGAGGAAAGGCAGGAGCCCCTTTCGACCCTCTTGCCTTCATCCAAAGGCCTCAAGTCATTCTAAGAGCTGTATGTTTGGTGAGTTACATTTTTCGAACGTCTGATAACCTTCCCGCTCTCCTTGCTACAATGACATTTCTACCGATTGAAGGATATTGTCGATTTCATGCGACGAACATTGATTCTAAAGGGTGAACCACCCCCACCAGCTTGACACGATGGGGTTCTATTGATTTTTCGCAAATTCCTGCGATACACCCCATAATAGATGAGTCCCGTGCAATGTTTTTATTGATTTTTGAATACATTTCATTTCATTTCATTCCGTCTTCGTGACGAAATGTCAAAATATAATTTCAGCGAGATGACGGGAAAGTTTCTCAATCATCACGAGGCAAAACTGCGGTACGGTCTCGATCGTAGAAACGATATGCGATTTTTTTTTTTTAAGTGAGCCAGGGTTCGAAACGAATAGACGATACACGTTCGCATAATCTCTCACCGTCTAGGATAATGTCAGAAAAATATTCTGTCCGATAAATATTCTAAATATTCGAACGGACAAGGGGCAAGCAACGAGTGCAAGTAAGATACCAATACGACACAATATACGACGAGCATAGATATGAGACACTCGAAGCTCGGCTCTGTGAACTCAGTCTCTCAGAACTGAATATATAGTGGGGATACGAGCACCAAGCGGGCAAAAATCTTCACGCCTATGTAACCAGCACTGTACTTAATTAAGACACGTATCTAAGGCGTCAGGTCAACTTCAGGCCGTTTCTCCGAGACGGGATCGCGCGTACGATTTTAATTACCATTCGATGCAGGGTGGATCACGGATTTGATAGTGTCGGAAATTTTTTTTCTCTTCTTTTAATTTTTTTTCAGAAATATCTACAAAATACAAATATTGCTTCCGCTGCCTTAATTGGATTGTATACATCTTTTTGCATTTGTAGATCAATTCTTACATACTAGACGCGTGAGGAATTCAAGAAAATCGATATTGCAACGAAGTACTTGAAATTTTGCTTAGAATTATCTGCGTTATTAGAGATGTTTGAATTCCGCCTACGCTCGTAGTGAACACTTTGTAAGTTGTTATTTTATGTTTTTTTTTTTTTTTTTTTTTTAAATTGAATTAATATGATCACTTTTCATGTTTGAACAATGTAATTTAATTCGTTTTGTTTTAAGTGGATTTAAGTATACTTTGCTCTCAAGGGGGATGAGGATTAATATAAAGAAAAGAAACAAAGAGGAATTAAATTAACCCGAAAATTGAGATGGTAGATGGCACTTGTACTGTACACATGCAAATGAAATATAGACTTTATTGTGATAAACTATCAGCAACTAATTGAATGTTGTCGATCGACATAGTTTGAAGTTTGTGACTTCAGACGATGGAATGTTATTGTCATATGTTCGCGACTGTTTACAATTAACTGTTTATAATACATTTTCAATGAAACAGATAGATTTATTTAGAGAATTGAGAAAATATTTTCAAGTTAGTTTCAAATTAAATTTCTGCGAACAATGGAAAATACAATTTCCAATATTTAATTAAGATATTTTATTCTTCTCTGTCGAACAGATAAACGAAAATTATTTATTCGTTTCATCATTTCATTTCCTAAATATACTTCTTTAATCTCAATTGTTTTCTTCGTTCTCAGAACTGTGACCTTCGTCTAACCCACTTCCATCTGAAGACGGATCTGGATCACCGTCGAAACTAGATTCGATTTTATATAAATAGACACGTAGTAAAAAACAAATATTTCATGCAAAATTAAACGAAAATCTAGTTCGAGAAACGGATATTTCAACTTCGACCCAGAAAGATAATTTTCCAATCGACCTATTCATTAAATACAGGCATCTGAAATTTTTACTTACCTTCCACCACACTGAATTGATTATTTATAAAATTAATTTGTGTATGAATTTTTGATTTGAGTTTTTCTGAAAAGAAGTTACAGTTTTAATTGTAGATACCTCGCGTGCAAAATTTCATTTTTACATTATGGATATATAGGGTAAAAATGGAGTTCAACGATAATGAGAAATTTACGTCGACAGATGAGAGAACTAATGAGAATTTTTTCAACGTGACAGCAGAATTCTGAAAATTGATTCGATTTATGAATTAATTAGTTGATGTTCCCTTATTTTTCTCCTTATCTTCTACGATTGTTTGTCGTTTCATTCATTTTTGCCGAATTGCCTGAATTATTTTAAATTATATTAAAATAATTCCTTTAGCTAACGAACTTAATACAATGTCAGCAAAATTAAGAAAGCTAATGAAAAGGCAATTGAAAAGTACAATTAATCTTTCTTAAAATTATTAAAGACATTGTCGAAATGTCCACGTCAATATTGAAAATTTAATAAAAATAAAATATTGAAAATTTTCGTTTAATAAAATTTAAAAAATTTTTAAACAGACAGAGTTGGAAAAATGTAAGAAAAGATATATACGTTTATTGTGTATTTATTTAATAATTGTAGCAGTAGTTTAAACAAAACATTGCAAAAATTGTCGTTTAATCTTTTTAGCTCTTTGCGATAATCGTGTTCGGATGCATAAGCAACAAAGGGTACATAAAAAAAGAAAACGGAGGAGAGGTGTGTCTTTATAACGAAGACCACAATGCATGCAATTACGGGATAGGAATTGGAGTCCTTGCCTTCCTTGCCAGCATTGGATTCCTTGCTGGCGAATATCTTTTCGAGCAGATGTCTTCTGTTAAGACCAGGAAGCACTTTGTCCTCCTCGATTTAGGGTATATTTCCTATTCTATTTTACCCTAAAGTAATTTCATTTCAAAATTATTAAAATAGAACATTCTTACATACATATATATATATATATATATGTATATTTCATTTAATTCAATTAATTTTTTGCGTTGCTTGAATAGAGTGTCTTTATGTTCCTTTGAAAATGATTTTGATGCTTTTTTGCAACATTGCAAACAAGCTATGCTAAATTAATTAACTATGGATTAATAATTAATGTAAAAACAATGCATATAACTTTTCTTGAAGTTTCATCTATGTATTATTTTATTCGCAAAAATATAGATTTGCATAAACATTCGCAATCTATAAATTAGCAATGGCATGCATTTAGTTTGATGAATTTCTTTTTTTTTT